TCTCATTGATTTAATTACAGTAAAGACTATATCACTATAATAAAGACCTCAAAATAGAGTGGCTTAAATAAGAGAGAAGTATATTTCTCTTTCACTTAGTCCAGCCAGGCAGGCCAGTTCTCCACGAGCTCATCTGGGAGCCAGGTTCCTCCCATCTTGTTGCTCCACCATGCCTAAGGCCAGTACTTTGTCCTTATTTGCATGGTTGGTCACTCAAGGGAAGGAAGTTAAAGGCAAGTAATTTCCCCACAGTCAAGTAAGGTGGGTGTTGCACATATCTCTTCTGTTCACATTCCTTTGGCAATAACTCTAGTCACATGGCCACAATTCACAATACGGAAGGCAGGGAAATTTAGTCTCTGGTTAGCTATCCAGATAAGAGTCTTTTTCCAAGGATGAAAAAGAGAAGAGATTTGGGGAGGATGCCTAGCAGTCTGGCATCTTTATAATGGCCTTCTCAGCCTAAATGATCTAGATGATGTTGGGGGCTCCTGTAGCCTCTCACACAACAGCTCCTACGTCCTTCCTTGTTCACTGATTTTGAACCACGACGGCTTCCCTTCTGTTCCTCAGACATTCTGAAATCATGCCTCTCTCAAGCAATGTTCACTTGTTCTCCCTTTTCTTGGAACTCTGCCCGATGGTCCTCTCAATCTCGGTTTTTTTCTTATCCTTCAAGTAACAGTTTGAAAATGTCCCATCCTTTGAGACGCCTTCTCTGACCACCCTTCTAATAGTTTCCTCCTCTTAACAGCCAATGTCCATGATCCTGAGTTATTTTCAACACTGATCATTTTATGAAATCATTTGATTATTTGTGTATTGCCTGTCTCCCTCGCTGGAGTTTGAGCTCCATAAGGGTAGGCGGTCTTACTTGTCTTAATCTTATTCACTGCTGTAAGCTCAATGCCAAACCATTGTATAGACATGATTAGCACCCAACAAATACTTTTAAAAATAAGTTGAATAAAAGGATAAGAGTGTCCTAAGCAATGTCTCCCCATCTTGTCCTTGTGCAATTATCTTTCAGATCAAAATGTGAGATTTTGCATTTATCCCTTCTCATTTCATCTTGTTAGATCTGGCCCATTGCCCTGGTCTACAGATCTCTCTTGGGTGTGACTCTGAACCTGCCCTCTGCCAGTGGATCTGCAGGCCCTTCTCACCACTACATGTTAGTAAGCAGGCAGCCACATTGCTTGCACTGTATCAATTGACACTCAGAGTCCCACACTTCTTTAATCCATACTTCCTGTTCATTGCACCCCCTTTTCATATGAGCTTCTACAATCTCCATAGTTGTTTACAAAGCAAGAACTGAGTGCCATGGGGAATAATGAACAAGGATTCAGAAGATCTGGATGCTAGCTCCAATTCCACTGCTGTTTGTTGTTGTTTTCTAAACCACCTGAGAAGTCATTCTCCTCTTTGTGGTCTTGACTATTCCCTTTGTAAAACAGAGAAAATCATGCCTGTTTTGCTTTACTCAGAGGATCAGATAACAATGTATATAAATATGCTGTGGAACAATTTAAAATTCTGTTGGAGTAGAGGGTAGTATTCCAGGACAGCCAGGGCCAGATCACAAGAGTCAGAGAGAGTCTGTGCAACATGGGGAGATTGTGGGGGTCCAGAGGCCGTTCTCTGGAGCACATCTTCCAAAACCCCACTTCATTGTACACAGCAGGGCATCTTGTATTTTCTTCCCCTGGTTTTAATGCCAAGCATGGAGACACCTCCTCAAAAAAAACTGCAAAAGAAAAAAATCCCTTTGTGCTAGGTAACAAGATAAAGGCCTTACTCAGAAGGGAGACTTTTAAATATTGTTATAACCACTTTAACCTATGACCCTATATTGCACATACTAAAGTCTCTCAAAAATCCCAAAGGGGATTGTATTTGTAATAAAAATTTAAAAACTTTAAAAGCTTCTTTTTATCTCTCTCTCAAAATCTCATATAAATACTGGCTATACCCAAAATCTACTTTTTTTCCTCTCCAAACTCTCCTAGCCCATCCTGGCCATGATCTCTTTTATCCTGTTCTCTCCCATGGTCAGCTGGTTCCATGTAAATCAATTGAGCTGAGCCAGGTTCCACTGGATTCTTTCCTTGTGAACCCATTATATCATTTAATACCACAAAATTGCAGAAGCTGAACCAGCTGTTCAGCATTTGATGTGCACTGAAGGAGGAAGAGTTTGAGGAGTGCCCATAATATTTACATTTTCTACCTATCACATTGATTTGTTACCTTTTAAACTAAATGAAACTGAGGCTCTGATATGGTGGAGAGGGAGCAGACCCAGGGTCTACCCGAGATTAAGTAGCTTTCTCTAGTAGTTCAGTGACTTACCCTCCTCTCTACCTCGACAGGATGTTTTCCAGGCCCCCCTGAGTTGTCCAACCCTGATGTCTCTAACTTACACACATAGCTTATACTTTTTTGTGGTTCTCTAGAGCTTGGGAATAGTAATTGTGTGTGCTGATAAAAACACACACAAACAGCTTTTGAACTGGTTGCCTCCTTCATGTCCCAGCCACAGCATCATTTAGAACCTCTAGAGCTACAAATAAATCATCAGTTGGAGTGAGCAGCCAAGGCTGGAAACTGATAGAGGGCCTCTGGTGTTTGTACTTCCAAAATCTGTGGCCGTACTATCTCAGAATCTCTTTTGCCCATGGCTTACAAGTGAAAACCATCCTCATCGCCTGCCTTCCTCACTCCTCTAGGTTTTTACTTGAAAGAAATCAGTTTTTTGGCAAGTCCCTTTGAAAAGTTTTCAAACCTCTGTTCTAGGGGATGGCTAAGCTGAAAGCCTTAAAGTGACTGAGATCATTTGTACTGGCCAAGATGTGACCTGGATGTAAAAGTGTTTGCGCTATTCAACCTGCACGGGAGTGCCTGCTCTGTAGCCTTCCTGAGGTCAGAGCTCTCAGGATATCATTAAATGATCTCATTTTGGTTTAGTTAAGCTCACACTACAAGACCTACTGCGTGCCACATACCACAGTAGTATGAAGGATACCAAAAAAAAAAAAAAAAAAAAAAAAAAAACTTTCAAAGAACTTGCATTCCAGTGGGTAACCAGACACAAAAACAGATCATTTTGTGTCGTGCATTGAACATGGTGACAGGGCGAACACTGCAGAGGAAGCATGGACCTGGGGCTCTTAGCTCAGCCTGGTGGGAGTGGGGCTTCCTAAAAGATGCAACATCCAAGCTGAATCTTAAAATGTATGTAAGAAAGCGCTCAGAGAGGGAGAGGAAGGTATTCTGGAATAAAGGAACAGAGGCACAGAACAACACAGTGTAGTCAAGCTCTACAAATGTTTCTGCACATTACAGCACAGCAAAGAAGTAGAAAAGAAGAGAAGTAGAGGCAGAGACTGGCAATGAAGCTGTGATGGCAGAAAGGGGTGGGATCATAAAGAGCTTTGTGTGTTCTAAGGCACCTGACACTATGTGAAAAAGACTATGGAGAGCCAGAAGGGTTTTAAGCAGAAAGTGGCAAAGTCAGTCTTGCCAGGTATCTTAATTTCAACGGAACCACTTGCTATTTGAGTTTTCTGCTTAGGAAACATTTGGAGGTCTGGAATTTCGTGACTGAGAGTCCTTATCAAGATATGACGCGCTATATGTGAGAGTTCAGGTGTATCCTCAGGCTCACCCTCACGAATGAACTGTGTGATGCGCTAGTGTTTTGCCTGGACCTAGGGGGCCCAGCCACCCATCAGTTCAGGGCCTCCATGGTATGCAGCCCAGTGCCCATTTCTCCTGTCCTCTGTGCAGGTCAGCACTGCCCACTGCCAGACTGCCCTCTACCAAAAACCAGGGTTAGGTAGCTCCCTTTCACCACTTACAATTCTTACAGCGCAAGTCTTTAGGTCAATTTTTTCTTTCTGATACTGTGAGGATAATTTGGCAGCATTATCAAAGCTGCTGGTCTCCTTAAGTCAAGAATTTAAATCATTCCAGTTAGTTCTGAACTTCCTTGAGAGAAAGAGAGAGAAAAAAAAAATGTGTTGATGAGTTCCTTAGAATGAGAAATATATTTGCTGTGATGAACAGCTGTTTGCCAGTTCTTGAAGACGTTTCTCTCTGAAGCACTGAAAATGTACACAAGAGCCCTCAAGTGTCTGGAGAAGAGGTTTCCTTTAGAAAATTCCCCACGGCCTACTGTGAGTAACCTGAGTTTGGATTACTGTGAAAATCCACCTCCATGTGATAGAGTTATTTATATCTCAAGAATCACCATGGAACAATGAGCACTCTCCAAGTTCTCTTCATGGAAGCCTGTTGTTCATTTCTTTTGAGGGAACATCTCTTAATAAATGGAGTCTCCCCACTCCAGAATCTGTTGCTCTAAATTTGCTAAAACATTTTCAATATTTTGTCGAATTCCTGTATTAAATTCTGGAATGGAAAGAAAGTTTAATATCATGGGTAATCAGTAATCAGAGGAATGTGAGATATTGGTTGTTTGGAAGCAATTAGTAAGTGTTTTCAAGAAAATGTATTTAAAAGTCATATAATCTAATGTAAAAATTATATATATTTCGAGTGACACAGTCCTATTTTTCCATGACCAATGCTGTACATACATAAAGGCTACGAGTTAAATGGGAGCTCACCAAAGAACAACCAACTCCCAAAATGCAGGGTTTCTGATAACCATGTTAGAGAAGGCTGCTTTGGTCTGAAGCTGAGATGCAAAGAAAGGACTCTGCCCAAGTCACATGTTCTCCTTCACATGAGAGAAGGAAACACAAACATCCTGGCCATCCCTGAGAACAGGAAGTGAAAGGTGTAGGACCAGAAAAGAGAATGTGGGGTGCGTAAACACTTACTTTACACTGTGAAATGTGGCATGATGAACTTCAGACACTCAAGGAATCCAGGTATTCTCCTTTCCTGCTTATACAGAAAAGAAGGAAGAGGTGGACAGTTGTCTTAGTCACTTTAGGCTGCTGTAACAAAAATACCATAGACTAGGTGGCTTAAACATCAGAAATTTATTTCTCACAGTTCTAGAATCTGGGAAGTCCAAGCTCAATGCACCAATACATTCAGTTCGTGGTGAAGGTCTTTTTCCTGGTTTGCAGACAGATGTCTTGCTGTATCCTCACATGGCAGAGAAAGAGAGGAAGTATTCTCTCTCCTGTCTCTTCTTATAAGGACACTAATTCCATCGTAAGAGCTCCACCCTCCTGACTTAATCACCTCCCAAAGGCCTCATACCCAAATACCATCACATTTGGGATTAGGGTTTTGACATAAAAATTTGGGGAAGACACAAACACTCAGTCCATAGCAACAGAGAAGCAAAATGTCCCGTTCTATGGAACTTACAGAGGAAGGCAGAAGCACCTTGCCCAGCATCAAGTATTTTTCTTGAAACTGTCTAGAACCTCTAACAAAAAAAGTAGAAGGTGAATAATTAGGAGACAACAGGAAGTAGGAGAGAAGAAATGAGGGTACCAGAAGAATACAGGGAGATGACAGATTCTAATGAAGGCAATGACACAGAGATGGCTTTCTAAATTCAGAATGAGACAAGTATAACCAAGGATATTCACTGATGTGTGGAAGGCTCTGGTAGGATTTGTCACTGAACTGTGGTGAAAACAGCCTCCCTGAAGCCTTGAGTAGGAATAATATGTGTGAGGGAATTGGCAACAAAAGGAAGCCAGAAAGGCTGGTTGTTCAGGGCTCTGTGGCTGCAGATAAAGAATCTTTCTGGATGCAGTAGCAGATAGCTGTTGGTGTTGTGTATGTGTTTTGTCTACCCAGCATTGCTATTCCCACTTCTTCTGTTAATAACACCTCTCTTCTCTGTTTGGAGAAATCTTCCTATCTCACTATCCAGTCCATCGCAGTCTCACCTTCCTGGTCATAAACAGACTTGCCACATCTCTGGCCACATGATTAGCTCAGATATGGGCACATGACTCAATATGAGTTGACCATAGTCTTTCTCCAGGATTGTTCTCATGAGTAAAGTCTTTTGCCTGCTTGGTCAAATGAGCTGGAAAGTTGTGACTCTCAGACTGCTAGTGGCTATATTCCTGCCTTTTGGAGTAAGTCTATCCTCACTGAGAAAATGTATTGATGTAAAAATACCAGTAGGTGTGGATGATGGACAGGGAATCTTACTACATTGAGACCCAGGTTTGTTCTCAGTTCCTACAGCTCTTCTTCCAGCCTGTGAGCTACTCCAGGATCTCCCTAATAGATGAGCTCCATTTCTCCTTTTCTTGTTCTTAAGCTAGTCTGAGTCATCTTCCTATCATTTGCAACCAAACATTTTAGGTGCCTAAGTCATACCAGCAACACGAAGAGGCTGGGAGGGTGGTGTTGGGTATTAATGTCCATTATAATTTAACTACATTCAGTTGAACAAAGGGTTTTTCTAAAAACAATGTTAATAGAAAGTGACATATATATGTGTGTGTATACATATATATGTGTGTGTGTGTGTGTGTGTGTATCCCTCTAGCTTTGCTCTACTGGACATTAACATCTCAGGGAAAGAAAAAGAACCAGAAAAAGACCACTGTGGCTATGCTTCTACACAAAATTTGTAACAAAACATGAGAAAATATCTCCAGAGAGCAAGGATTGTTTTTTTAAAAAAAGTAAAGTGTTTTAACATAAGACTCTGGAATTTTCTCCTCTGCTTGTTTTTTAGAGACAGTGAGAGAACAAGAGACAGAGAGATTGATTCATCTCTGTACAGCTGAAGACTAGGGAATGGACTATTTAGGTCCTTTGGTTGTACAGTTTGATGACATAGTTTTTGCTTGTTAAACAGAAACTGACTTCACCATAATTCTGCAGAATCAGCGTCTTGACCTGACTTCAGAAAGCAATTGTAATTCAATGGTGTTAAAAGCACACTTTAAAATAGCTTTAAATTACAAAAGGCATGTACCTGAATCTCACTTGATCCCAAGCAAAAACCTCATAGTTTCCCCCACATTATACCCACAGAAGCCTGCCTCAAAAACATAATATGGCAAGTTCTAAACTTGCAAAGTGTAAGAAAAACATATCACTTTTAAAGAAAGAACTCCTAATTCACTTAATTTGTTTTTCAAAAAACAAATTCATATATAAAAATTCCTTTATAGCATTAAAATAAGCTATATAAATTCATATGTAGCTTTTCAAAAACACATCCCTTAACTAATGTCAGGCACACCTCCACCCAATACTGGAAGGTTAGCAATAGTCATTCTCTTGGACGTGTGCCACTAGATGGCGTGTCAGACTAACTCACTCACCTCTGAGCAACTTCCTAGCTACTTCTACACCTCATGCCGTTTTTGGTGAGTCATCTTAGGCCACCTGATAAGCATTCAGGAAATGCTTATAACCAATTCAGCAGAAAATATAATTTTCACCTAAGTGGTATGATGAGTATGATTAGGATGTCTCTGCCAAGATTTTCTAAGAGAACCTGAAATTAGCCTACTTCTTATTTCTTGAAATTAAAACGTATAAAAATTGGATTAGAATTAGATAATCATAGGGAAAAATGAATTATTTGTTTTGCCTAATTTTAATCCATCCTATGAGTCTAGTCCTTCCTTGCTTTTTTATTTTGCCTTTTTAAATTTTTACCTTTGTGTGGAGGATGGGGTCTTGCTATACTGCCCAGGCAGGTCTTGAACTCCTGACTCAAGCTATCCTCCCACCTTTGTCTCCCTAACTGTTGGGATTTCAGGTGTGAGCCACAGTGCCCAGCGTTCCTTGCCTCTTGAATGAAATCTGTATCTATAATTTATTTGGCCACTCTTAACAATTAAGAGCCTTCTGTTCACTTTTAAACCCTAAAATAGTCTATGTCTATAATTAAGACAGCTATTCTCTTATATTATCAAACTCTAAAGAATATGTAAAGTTAAAGCCTCTTGCCCTCCCCATCTTAAGTTTTTGTTTGCAGTCTAGAGGTTGCATTAGAAAGAAATGCATGTATGTGTGCCTTTTTCATTTTTTCCCATTTAGCACACTTAATTCTCCTTTACTCAATCATTCATTTTTCCTGGGTCCCCCAGGGTTGTTGTGTATCTATAGAGTCATCATGGAGAAACGGAAGGCAGATAAGGAGCAAGAAAGGTTTTTCTTGACGGCACAATGTGATATGGCATTGCACCACACATGAGCTTACAATAAAAAACTATAAAACCCATAAAGAAACAAAAAACTGTGAATTAAAGTTAGCAGAAGTAACAAACTCTTAAATTAGACCCATAAAGACTGTAGATATTGGAATTACTGGATGTAAAATTTTAAGTTAGTATCTTTAAGATATTCAAATAAGGGGCATTGTAAAAAAAAAAAAAAAAAAGAGTAAGCCACAGACACTATCAGCAGGGACTATGCAGATTTGAAAAAGAACTAAACTCCTAGAAATGAAATATATATTAATTAAAATTAAAACTCAAAGAAAGGAGATTAGAGGTAGCTGAAAAGAAAATTAGTGAGCTGGAAGATAAACCTGAAGAAATTTACCTGAATAGGGAACAGAAGACACAAAGAAAGGAAATACAAAATATAGATTAAACAATATGGGGAATAGAATGAAAAAAAATCTAACAATTAGAATTCTCAAGAGAGAGTTTAAAAAGAAGGGGAAATATTTGAGGTGTTAATAGCTGAGAGTTCTCCATATTTAATGGGAAGTCCAATCCACGGATTTAGGAAACACCACAAATCCTAATCTGGATAAATAAAAAGAAATCCACACCTGGTCACATGTTAATTAAACCAAAGAACACTAGAGACAAAAAAAAAAATTTAAAACAGCCAGAGAGATAAGACAGATTAGGAAGGATAATTAAACTGGTAATTAATTGACTTCTCAAAAGCAAAACTAAAAGTCAGAAGGGAGTGTAATAATAACTTCAATATCCTGAAAGAAAATAACTATCAATCTAGAATCATAACCAGTGAAATTATCTTTCAATAACAAGAATGAAATAAAGACTTTTAAATCAACAAAGACTGATAAGTATCCTACCAACAAATCATTACTGAAGTAAACTTCCTTCAGAAAGAAAATATTTCAAAAGGAAGATCTGAAATATAGGGGGAAAAAATGTGCAGAAAAAACATGTGGGTGATTCTAAACAAATACTTTATAAATAAAAACAAAAATATTTTATAAAGCTGAAAAACCAAGATGGAATTAAAACATTAGACAAAATAATACAAAATCCAGAGGAGGTAATCAGACTTAAACTGTTTCAGAGTCTGTCTGTAAGTTAAATCTACATGTTAACATTTTTAAGTTAACTACTTAAAGAAAAAAATTGAGCCCAGATGCTTCAAGCAAAAACAGATTTTCTGCTTGACAAGGCCCCTAAAATCTGGAATTCCCTTGACAGGGCTTAGCCATCCAAAACAGGATTAGTAGTTCTCTGAGATATTTATCAATTATTTTGCTAACAAAGGTTTTTAATTACCTCCTCTTAATTATGGTGCTGTGGAATTTCTCAAATCTTTACAGAACTTAAAATGTCCTCCCATGAATAGCTTCCTTCCTGCCTTCCCCAAGTGTAATTTCTAGCAGGCACATGCTTGTGCCCATCTTGGAAATGAGCTAGGTACCATCACCTTGGTTATCCAACCACCTTTCCTACTCCTCATCTCCTTCTGAATGTTACACAGTCTGTGGAGAGCAGTGACAACAGAATTTATCTAGCTTATTATAATCTATAAAAACATACCTTTTGCTCTGTCAGTACCAGCCCCCTCTGTAACCTCACAATATGTATTCCTCTTTACCGTACTTACAACAGAGGAGGACATGTATCATATGATTCTTTCTCTTGCTGAGGCCATTGAATGTCAGATCATGATTAACTATAGTTGTGTTAATTATGAGTTCTTGGTAACAAATGTAGGTAAGAATTCTTTATTTAGTTTAAAACATTACAACCAAATTCAATTTGTATGTCTGACACACACAAAAAAAGGTCATGGACAACAGTAATACAAAATTTCAGTTTTGATGTCACAAGGCACAAAAACAACTGACAGGTGGCCCTCACGAAGCTAATTACTCACCCTTCTCTTTCCCACCCTTCTATTCCCTTGTTCTTTATTCTCACAAAGCAAATTTCTTATGCAGTGGTGTCTAATACTTTCATTAATAAAATGGCTTTTCCTTAAAGCCAAGGTAAAAGAGAAGCTATTTGTGTCTCTTTTAGCCTTCCCAGAAGAAATGAGTCAGACTAGTTACTACATGTCCAGCCCTACCAAGAAACTCTAAGAAAAATTTAGCTAAACTACTATATCTTTTTCCTTCTCACATTCCTTATCTCTCTATATATGATCCCTCTTAGTTCTACCTAAAATCTTAAAATGTAGTGAAGATGCCAGATTTTTGTTGTTAAGCAGCTTCTGCCCGGAATTCTGAATCCAGATGAATCTGTGGTTTCACTTAGAAACTTCTCTGCAAGGATTCCCCAGAAAACCTAAAGCACATATTACCCCTCATAGCACAGCTAATGAAAATGAGGCTCTCAGCTTGGTTCAGTGGCTCATGTCTGCAATACCAGCACTTTAGGCAGCCAAGGTGGGAGGATCACTTGAGGCCAGGAGTTTGAGACAAGCCTGGGAAACATAGCTAGACCCCATCTCTACAAACAAAAAAATTAGCTGGACATGGTGGCACATACCTGTAGTCCTACCTACTTGGGAGGCTGAGGGAGGAGGATTGCTTGAGCCCAGGAGTTTGAGACTGCAGTGAGCTGATACCACCACTGCACTGCACTGTAGCATGGGCCACAGAGCAAGACCCTGTCTCAAAAAAAAAAAAAAAGAAAGAAAGAAAAGAAAAAGAAAATGAAACTCTCCTTGAGTGAAGCCACAACTCCCTCTCAGATTAGCATTTGAGGAATGTATGGTGCTTAGCTGGATGAAGCAGCAACAGTGTCTGTCTTCATACAGCTTCACCACATCCATGACATATGAACAAGCATCAAGTCTACGACTCTTCTCACCGGATGTCTGGCTGTGAAGAGAAACTGGAATCTGGAATATCCAGATTCCAGTCCCATGGGTATTTAAGGAATTGCAAAGATCCCTAGACAAGACAGTCAGAAAGCCTGGCTTTATAATTTTAAAAACCATTTGACTACGGACAAGTCACTTAGTATTTTTCAACCTCAGTTTTACATTCTGTGTAATGAGACCACAACATCTGCCCTGCCTCTATCACAGAAGTTGATGCTGGGATGAAATGAAAGTGTTCTGTAAACAGTAATATACCATAAAAATAACACAAATATTATTAGTATTAACCTTCTCCCCTTCAAATAGTGCTAAAGCTCAGGCTGCTGCTTAAAGCAGCGCAACATTGCCCTTGTGCCACTCTGATGTTAAAAGCCCCTTCTTCAAGCTTCACAGATCAGTTTACCAGATGACTAGGAGGTAGGATACTGGCAGCAAAAAGCCAGGCACTTTTTCCTTCTAGGACTTTAAGTAACTGCCCCCTATTTTAGTGAATTTGAATTTCTACATCCTATCAATCAATTTCAGACTTCCATTAACATGCTGGAGGCATTTAAATCTGATTTTGGAAGGATATATAATGAGGACTTTTATTATTCTTGTCCACCCAACTTTGGGTAAGACCAAAGTGGAAGTGCTATTGGCCAGTCATCCTTATACTTTGTATGCTTTATAAAATGATTGAGTTTTTCCATTTCCCTAATGGCATCTTTTCTTTCTATTCATGATTTAAGTTTTGCTAAAAATATATCAAGGGAATGAGAAAATTACCTGTAATTCTTGTTGTCTGTTCTGAGACTGTCAAAATAGATCACTATTCTGGGAATGGAAATATCTACAACAGGCTCCCTGGGAGTGCTCCTGACACTCCTTTCTCTCTGCCTGTTTTCCCACTACCACCACCATACTCTGGTGAGCCCATCCATGTCACAGCCAGACTTCTGAGAGACTCACCACAGCCAGCCCCAAAGGAGTGAGAGGGACCTCACCAGGACATTTGAAGGAAAAAAATTTAAGGCCCAAGGAAGCCTCAGGACTAGCTGTTTGGAGTACACCAGAGGTATGACTTAGTGCAACAATTTCCAAATGCATCTGATCTCAGGAGTCTCCTGGAATGCATATTAAAAATATGAAGTCTGGCTCTAGACCCACCCAGTCAATCTCCAAGGCAGGGTCCAACAATACTTTTTTAACAGCAGCAATCAAGTTAATTCTTATGGTTAGGCAATTTTGGGAAACATTGATCAGCAGAAAAGATCCAGAGGTTGGGAGTCTAAAGACCTAATAGGTTTGTGACTTCATTAATGGCAGTGATGGTTTCTTCACCTATTAAAAAAAAATTGGGTGGGGGGGGGGGGGTAGTAAATTACAACAATATCTGTGACTTCAGCTTCCCTCAGAGGCAAGATCTAATCAGATTACCTATGGAGAAATTTTGTGGACTATTCACAAATATTTACAGATGTGGTCAGGTGCCTTGGGTTTGGGTGGCAGCCTTTTCCCATCTTCAGTATGCCTAATCCTATGTCAAGTGCACAGTGAGGATAATGAGAAGGGGGATGAGAGACCTAGCATCTCTGTGAGACCTGCCCTGTGTTGGCAAAGATGGAACCTGAGCCCCAGGAGCAGCTGACGCTGAGCTCCCCTGTGAGCATGCTCGGATGGAATAGCTGACATGCGCCAAGTCCATGGCCATTGTCTCCAACTTCCTAATGAATCCATGCATGGCCTAGAGAAGCAGCTCATCTACCAGGGGACACCTCCTTGCCACCTGCATCCACACTCCCTCCTCCAGCATGTTCCTGACTCAGTAGTGACTCATAGGCAAGTACAGCAGCTTATGCATCATCCCTCTGGGACCCCTGCTGCTCACCCTTTCCTGATCCTAATTCACCTCTTTTCAGTTCAGACTTTTGAATATTGGCTTTTCAGATCACCGAGCATATATTTAAATAGGATGATGGACAAACACATACAACACTTTAATATCAAGGTATTCCCATTTAAGTTTTTTAAAAAACTAAATCTCTGGGTTTATTATAATTTATCCATAGCACTATTTCATACTCTATGTATAAAATCTCCTTTCTTGAGCATGTCTTATTTCCCCTATTAAATTACAGGGTCCTAGTGGACAGAGATTACGTCTTACACAAGATTTACTTTGTACCCCAATAAAACCTAGGAAAGAAGCTAACAAATATAACTATTTCCTATGCAGGACACACTATTCAAGGGAGAAGAAACAAAAGGACACATAGAGGAACGTCAGGGGTGCTGAGGACAGCAAGCTTTGATTTGTCAACTCAGCCTTAACTCCTGTCCATATACCCAGAAACAACTGCCTTTTTCTCCTACTGAAGGCCTGGAAGTCTGAATGATTTATGCAGTTCTACAAAGGACAACCTGGTCCCAACTCCCAAGGTTAATTCAGTAGCCTGCTATTTTCTTTGTATTTTTCCGTCTATCCATAGTTTTGTTGTCTTTGGAATTGCAGGTTTCCAATTTTAATAATTCTTTAATTCTTTCCCATTGTTACCCTTAACCTTCACCAAAATCATACGTCTTTAGTTTTTTAAAAAAACATTATTTTTGGTCTCTGCAGCTGGTGCTATGAGGCTCTTTGGTGGTGACAAGCCTGACACAGTGCTCAGTATAAAGCAGTAATAGCTACCACAGCTACCCAATATTCTCCAAAATTGCCTGAGCAAGTTGAAATCCAAAGCTGGTGACTAAGAAATGTTTTTTATCATCTTTTCCATCCGAACTGGGGTCCAAACACACAGGCTAGACCTAGGCTTTCAGAGGCCAGGGACACCAGCAAGTCTAAAACTCAGCACCAGGGTTATGGCTTGTGTCTTCCAGCCCTTGGAAGTACCAGCACTGGGTTCAACTGTTTTCCTGATTTCTCTGGGACTGGCCAAAGCAACAGGGAAATTCTTTCGTAGGTCAATTCTCCAAGCAATGACACATACCAGCTCATCCCTCCGACCCTCACCCAGCCACTTTTTTATTTCATTGCAAACAAAGGATGTTTTTTGGAAATGTCATGAAGTACAAATGGATACTAGAGGAATAGTACTCTGAGAATAGGGTCTAGCTCCAGTAAGGTGGCTCTGGAGAAGACCAAAAAGATGTTAAAGAAGAGACCTTCTTCAGAGGTTGTCCACAGATCCATAGACAGGGAAGAAACCACTGCTGGATTAAGGGATAGCAAAGTCAAGCATTATCCTCCATGGATTTGACCCAAACATGTACCCCACAAGAGTGCAAGGTGAAAAGTTTTGATAAAAATCTGTCAACAAAAGCGGAGGCTATGAGAAACACAAGTTTGGATGGAGTAAGGGGTTAATGGATAAACATTCAGACAAGAATGAGTCAGGTTTGTTCTTGAAGAGAAATTAACATAAAGAATGCATCAACTTCTCATGCCTTGAGTAGGAATCAGAAATTTGGGCTGGGTTCAGCTAGGCAGTTCTTCTGTTGGTATTAGCTGGACTCACTCATATATCTGCAATCAGCTGAAAATTGATGGGCTGTCAGATAGGGTGACAGGGTAACTGGGCCCTTTTCTTTTGTCATGCAGCAGGATAGTCCAGGCTTGTTCACCTGGTGGTAGTTGCAAGGTTCCCAAGGGCAGCAAAAGAGGACAAGCCCCATGCACAAGAACTTTTCAAGTCTCTGTTTGTGTCACATTTGTTGGGCTACTGGCTAAATCAAATCACACAGCCAACTCCAGATTCAAGGGGTAGGAAAAAAAGACGGCACCTCTTGATGAGAAGGAAGTTGTGGCCATTTTTGCTATCTACACAAATGACAAAATCCAGAAATCTAGCTTTGGAATTTAGGCAAACTCTATCATTTAGGCAAGGGTGGGAATAGGAAGTACTCCTTCCTGAGAAAGCAGTATCTCTAATCTCTTGAAAGTGGCCATAGTGGCAGTCTAGTCAGGCCAAATGCTGTATGTTCCACATCCCCTATGTCCTAGAATGGCAGAACTGGGATGGCAGAAACAATTAATCGTATGTGAAGCACAAAACCAGAAAAGATTGAGTGAAGTTTGTGAGTGAAATGGTCCACATTCAAAATATGAGACGATGTTATTTCCCTCTTAAATTCCTTCTCATTCTTTTCTATATGCATTCTGCTTTCTCCTCTTTTCTCACTCTTCTGTTTCATGCGTATATTTTAAGCATTTATCACAAGGCACCCGATGACAATCTAATCCGAGTGCAGAGGGAGGCAGGGCTCTGTGTGTGGCACCAACCTGTGGAAGGTCCAGGAGAGGGGAGGAAGAGAAGAGCCCTTAATGTCTAAGACTCAGATGTTGACATGTGCAGCAGAAAAGGAAAAAGCAGTTTACATTCTCAGAATGGAAAAGGAAATACCACTTAGACAGCTTTTCAAAAAGGTATACTCGCTTTTGCTTTGTCCTAGCCACTTAAGAATTGTCATTCAGAACAGCAAATTGAAGTCATTTCTGTGATTGTACCAGAGGTCACTGTCACTGAGCTCACCAAAGGCCTTTTGATTTTAGTGTAACAACAGTCATTGACTAGTGACTGGAAAGTGATGGGGATAAAAGGTATATTTTGACTTGAAGCTGTCTTTCCTTGTCAGCAGAAGGTCTTCTTCTAATAGTAGTAATAAATTCTTCTGTCTCTAAGTATAGCACAGGAGGTATAGAAAAGCATACTGTAGGCATAGGCAATTTCTGGAGATTAGCAGTCCAGAGCAAACTCTCTTTCAGAATTGTAAATGGAGTCCTGGTTCTGTTAAGGGAGGAGGTTGGGCAGGATAAACGCTATAGTTGAGAAACTCTGTATGTAGGAATGTTCTCGCACATTCTTGCTTTCTTGGTAAGTTTCTCAAACTAGTTAGATGGGCACAGAGGTTTGAAATCAGCCTCCCTTAAAGGCTGCCTCCCATCCCTTGCCAAAGCAGAGATCAGCAAATCTTCCAAGGTGATGGCCAGAGAAGGTCCCAGGTCTGCTGGCTCTTGGATTTGTGTCTTGTCTCCATAGTCCATGTCTGATTTCTCGTCATCCAGAGAAATGTTGACAACATCAGACCACAAGGGACATCCTGGTTGGAAAGTCATTCTAGGAAAGAGCAGAAAGAGCCCAACATTAAGCCACACGCTAGTTAAAGAAAACAACCCATAACAGATGGCTCTCTGGGCAGAGTCCACAACCTGTTCAGTGCCAGGTACCCCTGACTCTCAGAACCTTTCATTAGACCTGTGATGGTTGATCCCAAGCCTCACAGAGGCAAAAGCCAGCATACATCTGATAGGCTTAGTTCCATGGTCACAGAATAACTTCTCACCCCCTTTAGGATAACTACTATGTTTAGAGCTCCACAACAGCAAGTGTGGTTGGTATTCCATAAACCTGAAATCGCCTGAAAGTTTCTTCCCTACTCATAGTACTTTGGTTATTGCATTTTTTTTATTTAAAGAAAAATAAAATACACCGAATTCCTTTGGAAGGGTTAATTGTATCAAAACCTTTTTCTGTTCATATTCCTTCTCCCCCTACTAAATACTAAAGAAAACGTCCAGCTTGGATTCATATAAAACAGAAGGAGGCGGGGTAATTGCAAAGGGGGAGAAGCAGTTGTGTTGGAGAGTGATCTCCAAAGCATGGGGGTCAGAGGCACTTGATACCCCACAATGGACATTTGTGACTGTCCCCCAACGTTTCTCTGAGGTCGAGGGCTCCCATTTTGGGGCTGTGGGAAGGAATAGGCAGCTCTTGGCATTTTGAAAATAATGAAGTCTATATAAGACCACTTACAAAAGAGACAATGAACTGGGTAGGGACCAAAGGATTTCCTTCGCATATACGGGCACAATACAGTTTACACTCCATAAAACATGAAAGGAGGAGACATGAGTTGTCCTTTGAGTTGTCCTTTGCAAACAGCAGTGGCTCCTAACCTTCTCTGGGATGTGGATTCTTGAAAATCTGATGCAAGTTACAAACCCTCGCCCCAAGCAGGGCTGGGGAGGAATGCACATAGAAGCATGCGTTGAAGATTCTGCACACAGACCTCAGAAGCCCACTAAAGGCCAGTGGTGGTGATGGCTCCTGGAATCCCTGATACTAAACCCTTCCGAGTTGGTTAAATACCTAACGCTCCCTGTAAAACCATCTACATGCCTTCAACTTTCTTCTTGTTTTCCAACTCTCCCAGCCCTTGCTTCCTTCCTTCATCTGACCCTGGACAGAGTGAAGTTGAAAAAGCCCCCAGCCTACCATCCGCGGATGAACTCGCCCAGGCAGGCCCCTGTGGCCTCTCCAGGCAGGGCCCTCCCGCCTCGCCACCTCCCCGGCCCCGGGACAGCGACACTGCCCGCCCTGCCTGGCGGCTCCCGCTCAGCCCCCTCGGAGGAGGGGAGGCAGATGCAGCCTCACGGTTTTCTTGGCGGGCTCCTTTTTCCTCCTCTTCTCCGAGTTGCTGTGGTAGGGCAGGTCGCGGCCACGGTAGGATGGGCCGCGGGTCAACTCCAGCTCGCTGTAGGGCGGCAGCGCGTCGTCGGACGCGTCCTCCTGGTCGTCCTGCGACGAGCCGGCCTTGTAGGTGCCGGGCGGCGACCACGCATAGTAGGAGGCGCTGCGCGGGCCGAGCTGCGCACTCCGTTTGGACGGCGTCTCCAGGCTGCCGCCTCGGCTGGCGCCCTCGGGCCGCGGCTGCCGCTCCCGTGCACCGCCCAGGTACGAGTGGTCGTATTTGGGCGCAGTGCCCGGCGTGCGGCTCACAAGCCGCGGCAGGTGCGCGTCCTCGGTGGGTCTGCGGCGCGCGGGGCTGAAGGCCCAGCCGCGGTCGGTGTCGGTCAGGGGCTCGCGGCTGCGGCTGCGCTGGCCGTAGTACTCCTCCAGGGAGTCGTCCTGGTAGAAGCCGCCGTGCGCCCGGGACTCCGAGCGCTCGAAGCGGCTCCCGCCCCGCGCCTCGTGGCTGTTGCCGTCGGCCCGGCGGGGCCGCTGGCCGTAGGAATCAGCGAAGGCTGCCAGCTCGTCCATGGAAACGGCCGGCACCCCCGTGGCGAAGTTCTTCCGTGACAGCATCTCGGATTTGGAGCGTGGCTGGCTGCGGGTAGAGGAGGAGTGGGTCAGACGGTCATTCCCTCCCTCGAGCTCGAGGCAGAGCTCCAACATCACCAATCGTGTCCCGGGGCTGCGCTCAGGAGACCTCGGCCTGAGCCTCAGCTCTGCTCCAGGCTGGATGAAGCATTCCAGGCTCCTCTCTCACCCCAGAACGTCAAGTGGGGGCAACCGAGTCTATCCCACTCGTGTGCCACGCATCAAAATGGAGTCGTGTAGACAGAACATATTCTGTGTCCTATGGAATACCAACACACCGTGGGGCTGCCTTCTGGTCATTATGTTGTGACCTCTCGTTGACAGCCACACGTCTCCAACCTCAAAGCCAGCGCAGGACACACGTCAGTACACACAGTTGTGGTCCCAGGAATCCCTGTAATGTGTGGTGACACACAGAGAGGCCTTTTCTTCCCTCAGAGCCGAGGGCCAATTTACCTACTAGGGCAGGAGGGGAGAGGGACCCTTGCAATTTGTAAGGGAAAGGCAATGTCGACTGTCTTTTAAGGTAAAGGACAGATGAGTGGTGAAGGTGCTATTTAGGGGGAATAGCAAATCTTAGCCACCCACAATTGTGGGAGGCCACATCACCTGGGTAAGTGCCTAAGGACCTGGAAGTTTCCATTTTCCCAGCTTAAAATTGGGGACATTAATAGTAGCTGCCCTTTAGAGTTATGAGAATTAAATGCAAGAGAAGTGTTTGGCATTTTATCTTTCATATACCAAATGATCAAAAATGAGGGAGATGGCCAGGCATGATGGCTCACGCCTGTAATCCCAGCACTTTGGGAGGCCAAGGTGGGTGGATCGCTTGAGTTCAGGAGTTCAAGACCAGTCTGGGCAACATGGCAAAAACCTGTCTCTACCGAGGAAAAAAAAAAAAAGATGTGAGATGATGGGTGGGATTCTTTAGCGGTTATAGGATAAAAATATGAGAAGGGCAGAGATATATTAATGTTCATTAAAGGGTCTAGGGGACCCATTTCAAAGGTCTTGAATAATTACTTCTACACATGTTATCACAAGTGTTCCCTGTCTTGACAAATGTGAGATGTTCAATACCCTGTAGAAAGAGAGATGTGTCAGGATAACCTGGAATGGGAGACAGAGATACTACTGGATGGCATCTTCCTTGCCTCCGATCTACCCTGCCTTCCAGCTCCTGCCCCCTCACACCGACCAGACCTGCCCCTCACAGCCATCACCTGTGCCTGAAGCTCTCTCGATCCTCTTTGTTATACTCCATGGCTGAGGGCCCGCGGCTTGCCCCACTGCTGCCTCCCATGACACCTGACCAGTAGTCAGGATTGCTCTCCAAGTCCCCAGACACAGGGAACTGTTTGCTTCTCATCTGACGGAAAGATTGGCGGAAATTGCTGTCCTCCTCATGTAGGGAACTGAGTTCTGAGATGGTGTTGTTATCTGCAGGGACAAAACCAGGCATCACAGAACTTTCTATGTGTTACTCTGTGTTCGACAGGAAGGGAATCCTGTTAAGGGCTGAGAACCTAGGCTGCAGGAAACTCCCGCCTCATTCCTGTCCAGGGTGGGTTGTAAACCTGAACTAGTGGTGTTTGCATTCTTAGCTCAGCAGGAATTGGCTCCAGTTTGAAGCCTACTTGCTTATAGAGAGGGAGGTTCCTACATGCTCTGTTCTTGGAATAGGAGAACAAGTTTGTTCTTGTTGCACCTAAGGCAGGCTTTCCAGAACTCAGGCTCTCTGTTGCTGGCCTCCGCCTAGTAACATCATCGTCCTTGTTCAAATGTTTTCTTCTTCCTTTATAATTCTGTGATGAGCTGTGTTGATCCTAGGCATGTTAAGCCAGAAACAGAAAAAGAAAGACAGAAGCCACAGATCACAGCATCTTCCTTAATGCTGGCTCAGTCCTAAGATGGACCTTCAGAGCCAGTCCTGCCATATGCTGTGGAGGCACCGCATTCTGGCCTCCTTTGGCTGTGTCCCTCCCCAGAGAGCAAGAAGTCCACAGAATAGTTGAATAGTCAAGGGGAAACATGTACCTAGTATCCATATACCCACTGCCTTAGCCCATGCTCATCTAGGAACCTGGAAGATCCTGCTCAAGTAGCACCAAGCCTACTTTCAGCACTTGGGCAGACCTCTTCCCCTCTCCCAAAAACTTTTTCCAGGGGTATATGTCCATGAGAGGCTAGGCCAGCATTTTGGAAATACGGGAAGAAAAGGGGGTTGTGCTGTACTTATACCTGTGGGCCTCTACTTATACTCTGGCCCCAGCCCAAAAATATAAATGGGGTATCTAGTCACAGCTTTCTAATTTCCTAAAGTGGCCTGATTAGCTTTTCGCAAAAGCAGTTGTGAACAAGGACCAGAATCACAGTCTGGAAAGGAAAAAATAAACAAAAACTCAACTATTTATTTATACAACTTTGAAATGTATTGAATTTCATTGTACTTAAAAAACAAATCTAGTGAATCTATTTGCAATGTAACTGAATCCATTTGTTTTCTAAAATCCTTTAATTAGAACTTCAAAATATTATCAGAAACAACATTTACCAAATTTCAGGCCTACCTGTTGAGTGAGAGGTGGGCCAAGATAAGATGTGGAAATATGTGTCTCAGATTCCCTCTACTTCCCCCGCTCACTATCCCCAAGAGTTCTTGGAGGAACAGGGGATTTTTGCACAAAGATGAGGGAGGGTCTCCCAACACAGCCTCCTAGTTCTGTTTCACCAGGGACATGGCGTTTACCATGAATGCCATTCAGTTTAATCATGCAATCAGTTGATTTTTAATTATAATTTATTTTTTAACCTTTTCTTCCATGTAAAAAGAAGGGACTATGCCTATTTTAAGGAAAATAACTCAGATACTATTGATTACTAAAATCTAGAACTTTCCCTTTCTCATGATCCCCATGAATTCCAATATCCCAGGGATCACACAGAAGAGGCTTTTAAAATGCACCAAATGAGCCTAATGAAAAATAGCATTGTTGGCTCAGAACTTTCCTTAAACTTCAGGGAATACTTCACTTTTTCATTTATCTAGATAGTGAGGACGATCTATGTTTCACTATTCACAGTGATGGACTGTCTAAGTTGTATGTTGTGCTAAAATTTCTGCCAAGTTGAACACAAACATCAACCTGCCCCCATATCACAGACATCCATAATGTAACTCTAGGATAGGGGTAAGCAAACTTCATTTTGTTAAGGGCCAGAGAGTAAATATTTTAGGTTTTGCAAGCCATATTGGCACAACTATTCAATTCTGCCACTGTAGCATGCAAGCAGTCATAGATGCAACATAAGTGAATTGGCATGGCTGTATTCCAATAAACCTTTATTTATAAAAATAGGAAGTAGGGCTGGGCATGGTGGCTCATGCCCATAAAATCCCAGCACTTTGTGAGATCAATGAGGGAGGACTGCTTGAGCCCAGGAGTTTAAGACCAGCCTGGGCAACATGGCAAGATCTTCATCTTTATAAAAAATAAAAAATAAAAAAATAGTTGTGCATGGTGCCATACGCCTGTGGTCCCAGGTACTGGGGAGGCTGAAGTGGAAGGATCCCTTGAGCCCAGGAAGTTGAGGCTGCAGTGAGCTGTGTTTGTGCCACTGCACTCCAGCCTGTAACAGAGCGAGACCTTGTCTCAAAAAAAAAAAAAAAAAAAAAAAAAAAAAGGAAGTGAAATATATTTGGCCCAGGAGATATAGTTTGCTGAGCCCTGTACTAGAACTTCCCAGACTAAAAACATCCCCCAAACAACCCCCACATTTAGAAGGGCAAAACAAATGAGGACCATACTGGCTAGCAAATTCATGAGCCTGGACCTCAGACTCAATTCTTAGAGAATCTATTACTCTCCTGCCCCAACCTGAAACCATGAGATACATTTTATAATGAGATTTCAAGATTGCCCACTTCCATGATTCACCCCATGGTTTACTATGTTCTTCAGGAATAGGACTTCTCAAAGTAAACAGTATTCCTATTTTATCTCTATGCAGTTATAATAATATTAACTTGCAGGTTCCAGGAGATCAGGGTTCCAGTTCTGGCACTGGCACTGAGTACTGGCGCCTGTTACTTTCCCTCTCTGCCTTAGTGAAAGGGACGGATTCAACAACCTCAGAATCCCTTCCAGCTCTAGCATTCTAAAGTCCTATTAGCTAGAAGGCTGTGGTCTCTGAATAGAATGGAGCCATGGAGCCATCCACATTACAGCCTTGGAGCCATCCACAGTTTGCTCAAGAGTTTCTTGTGGAAAGAGCACAGGACCGGGAATCAGAAGAGCTGGAATCTTGTCCTAATTGTGTCACCGCATCCCTAGGTTTCTGTTTCCTCATCTGCACACTACAAAGGTTGACCTAGGCCATCTCTAAGACCCCCTTCGTCTGTAAGAGTACCTTATGACCAGTAAGCCCCTAGAGGCCATTTTAATCGAGTAGAGAGACAGGAGACATCACCTAAACCAGAATTCTTCCTTTAGTTTTAACCTTAGCTGGTTAACTTTTTCTCTGAGCTGTGAGATTCGCAGATTTCCTGCACAGACTCCTCTGTGGTCCCTGACTCACTCTGTCTCTGGCCCCTTACAGGGATCCATGACAACATTGTTACAACTAGCTTGTCAAGTGCAGTGACATCTGCATTCCTGACATTCCAATCTGGAAATGGTCTTTTTATAGTCGGTGCGGTGGGAGGATACAGCAATGGATACAACGCAGACAGGATGAATTTAGAATTGCAAACTGGGTGGAATATGTTGTCCTTAATCTGAATAAAGCTCCTCTAGTCTGGGACTGTTTCCCCAACAATTCCGTCAAGTCTCTCGTTAGTTCCAAGAAGAGGAGGGTAAAGAGACAGCGTAATGACCTCACTTCCACACCCGCCAGCACCCTCTGATAATGAGCTTGTCCATGTGGGACCTGCCCTGTGTTGCCTCCCATGATACATGATAAGTTGGAATCCACCCAAAGAATCAGCTGTGTCAGCTGCAAAGTATCCAAGGGCTGGAGCTGAGTTAAGGGTTGGGGCCCGGCCACTTCAGACTTAGTATTTAAAAAGTTCTTTTGATAAGAGGAACAGCCTCTTTGCTTGCCCCGTAATCTCTGTTGTTTGGCATCTTTGAGAAGCGACAACCTCTTTTTTCCAGATTCATGTGCCAGACTTGTTCTTTTACTTTCAGGAGGCCTCCTTGCAGCGAGTTGGTGGTTGTGTGGTCCAAGGTTAGGGCCCTTCACGTTGGAAAAAACTGATACTTAAGCTTCCACATCTTAAGACATTACTTTGAATATATTTTAAAGGGAGTAGAAGGGAAAGACTATTTTAATAAAGCATTCCAAACCCCAGGATAACACAGCCCCAGCAATACTGACTGCCCCATGGAGAGAACCAACACAAACCAAGATGCTACCGAATTGCTCTATTCTTCATACCAGAAGGCCTGTTTTTCCCCTCTGTGTACTGAGAGCTACTTTCTTCAGTAGTGTCATCAGTACCCCTGTTAATTCTTAGCCTGCAAGCTCAGGGCTATCCAAGTTTGGTGACCCCCAAATCCCCTTAACATACTAACTCCTGCATAATGCACAGATCACAGAAAACTAACAGATGCTCACATCTGCCTCTCATCCTTCTGGCTGGATCAAACTGAGCCAGCTCCTTCTCAACATAGTACAGGACCTTCATGGAGTCTCTCTCTTTGTCAGTCTGGATCCGGTAACCTTTGCGAACTGTTGAGAAAAGCACAAGAAGGTGAGCTGAAAAAGGAAAATATCAGGAGAAGGAGGCCTCCATTTATTTTACCAAGTAAAAAATAGGGTTTCCAATTATAACAACTCTTGTTGAAATCACCCAGAAATAACACTCTATATTTATACATATGGGACCATATCTGTGATCCCCTTTATCAGATGGCGCCACTGGAATGGAGGACCTAAAGGTCAACAACAAAATTCCATTACAGTCTATTTTTAGTCATTTGTTAACCTCTGCTTCCTATCTTTTGACCTCCTACAGCTCCACTTAGCGCTCATCTTCTCAATGCTTTTGCGTTCCATTGGAGGAGTGTATTCACACTAAAAAAAGACCACTTTCTAGATTGAGGACATGTGTCCCTTTACTGTCTGAGGATTCCAACTTCACTTTGTGGGAGCACAGGTAACTTACAGATACTCAAACATCAAGGACTTTGACAAAGTTGGCCTGAAAGCTTTGAGTTGCCTAGAAGATAGTGCAAAAACTCCTTAAACTGAGTTGTATAGAAGAACTAGTATTACTTTCTAGACCATATACATAGTAGTACAAAACAAAATTCAAACTATGTGGATTTTTAATTATGGTTCCATTTCTTCAGCATTTTCCTTTTAGAAAAAGGAATACTGTATTTTAGACATGATTAATTTGACCTGCTGCGATGTGGTTACAAGCAGCTGTTATTTTCAGGGCTTAATAAAAAACAAAACTAAAGCAGGAGAGAGAACAACATCTCCTACATCCCTATCACTCATATTGTCAGAGACAAAGGCTGTTTAAGCCCCATATCACTTAAGTATCAGTCTAGCCCAATACCAGCCCCAAGAGTGATAGATACCAGTGGGCCTAATGCACAGATAAGAGAAAGAGGGAAAAACCGAAAGAGAGAAGGGAATGATGGGATGGATATTGAAAAACAATGGTAATTAGTCAGTACTTACTGGGCACTGAAAATGTGCTAGGTACTGTGCTAAATGCTTTACATGGACATTTGTTCCTCAGAACCACCTAAAACAGTACTATTATCAGCCACATTTTATGTTTGAGAAAATTTTGGGTCAGAGGGGTTTCATAACTTGCCCAGGAAAAATTTAGCAGTGCCAGGGCTGGAACCATGTAGTCTGATGGAAGCTTAACCACATTTGGGCATCTTGCCTCTCTAGAGTCTAGGAAGAGAGGTAGTAAGAAGCGAAAGGTGAGAAAGACAAGGAAGGAAAGCCCAGAGTAAGAAATGCTTTAGCTATGCCATGGCTTGTATGGTCTGCACAGCATGGTCCTATCTTCCAGCTATTTAGGACTTTTCAATGGGATGTAAGCTAGTGACCTAACTCCAACATTCCCTGTTCCCAAAGTGGGGCAAACACCATAAAGAAACCATATGACTGCATGTAAATCCAGAGAAAACCCTGCTGTCTAGTGTCTGGCCACGTTACCCTGGCTGCGGACAAAACCCTCCCACACAAGCTATTTACATGGAAGATTAAAATATAAAATTCCAAACCACTCTAATTGTAGTCCAAGCACTAAAAACAGAAGTCACCCACACACCCATTTGCAGGTGCACTGATTTTCTATATGAGAATATACTGGGCAGTCCACATTCATCTCAAATTGTGGAATTACTTAGAAAAAAAATTAATGAATCTCAGTACACACTTTTTAGTGGCACTTTCTCTCAGAGGTTAGATCCATAATCCTTGCGTGGAAGCAATGATTAGCAGAAATACTTTTATTTATCAAGCTAAACATTCTTCCATCTCTACAGAGGCATTTACTGAGTTGTACAGACAGTTCAATTAAAATGCAATTATCCCACGGAACTGCTATGTTTGTTCTGGAGGCAGTTATGTCTGATGGATGAGGCTCTGGTCTGGGAAGTGAGGAACTGGGCATCATGTAGGCATGCTGTGCTATTTATTGAGGGGCCTCAAAGAAATGGTGAACTATCTAGGACTCAGTTTTCATGTCTATAAAATGCAATGAATACTTCCCAACCTTTAAATAATCTCTTAATGATGAGAGGACAACTAAGACTAAATCAGTGGAGCATTTTGGGTTCTCTGTCATTATCAGGAGCTGCTCAAATACTGCCTCAGCCACAGGGCTTTCTTTGATTCTCATAGCTTGAAAAGTTCTCTCTCTCGCTAACTTACAAATTATTCAGTTTGAATTTTATTATGGCCCTTAATATATTCTAGTTTGTTTCAAGTTATCTGTATAAATGTCCAATTTTCTCAAAGATTCTTGAAGGAAAAGAATCCTTATGGTTCTAGATCTCCATGTGCCTAAAACCATGCTTTACACATAGTGGGGAACTTAAAAAATGGTCGTTGCGCTGCTGTCAGCCTGGGAATCGGGGCAGGGTTAATGGTTTCTTTGAAAAGTGCATTTTCAGTAGAGTTTTCCTCTCTAGACTGCAAACTTCCTGAGAGCAAGGACTAGGTTCACTTCTGTATCCCTAGCACCTAGCATAGAGCCTGGCACATTGTAGACATTTGAAATATGTGTGTTTGTAATGAATGAAGGAATGAGTGAATGAATGAGGAGAAACTGGGGATAGAAACCATAAGAGATCATAACATATAGCAGATGAGGCCATATGGGTCATTTATTGGAGAATTTTGACCAGGGGTGGAAATGCTTGGATCGTAGAAAAGTTTAGATAAGTATCATGATGATGATGATGATTAATTATTTTTTAAGGAAAAATAGCAAGTCTGTAGGCATTATGAAAAGGGCCTATCCTACCTGCAGCTATGGTTTTATCGAGGTGTTCTAATTTGTGAAGCACTGTTATGGTAAACATTCAGTGATACTGAGCTAGAGGTAATGGGGGAGGGGGCCCATAAAGTTGTTGCTACATGGAACAATGTACCAGCTGTGCCCTGGTGGAGAGAGACGGTCGGTGAGAGATGGCTGCTACCCTGAGAAGCAGCTGGAGGATCCTCAGTTAATTGCCACTTGGACTACAGCATAGTTTTCTATGTCATTATAACAAATTACACTCCTCATTATGATACAGATTTGATTGTGTATGCAGAGGTTATCATGTCCCTGAAAAGTTACAGTAACCATTTATAGCCTCAAATGAAGATGATGGTTTTGCCTTCAGTACTGGCATTATAAGGAAACTCCACTGTACCAGATACTTTCAGCCTTGATTTCTTAGTCACAGCAGCCATGACTTCAGAAATCTAAATTCCTCTAATTTGTCAAAAAAGACGGAGGCAAAGTATTGATCTTTTGACTTTAGGAGTATCATCCATTTGGTTTCAGTAGTTAAAAACCTGGGCAACCCTCCTTTTAAAAGCTATTGGACTTTTTAAAAATGATAAGCTACAAGTTCAAATACACTAAACTATGCTCTGATCCTGGTAGAATCTGGCTCTATGTCACATATATTCTGAGGAGCATATGAAACACCAGAAAACCTTTCCTGGTCCCTCCTCTCCAAGGATGAGATTTTCCTTTCTGAGCTGGCATCATGGATCAATCTTATAATATACTGCCTCGTATTACTTACTCTTTTATTTCCACTTACAAGCCCCAGCAACCACCTGGTAGACTGTAAATTCCTTGTGGGCAGGTAAAATTTGTAGGCATTCATTAAATTTTTCTTGATTTGAAAGCAAATAGCATGGTGTCAAATTGATTTTTATCTGTAATTTGTCTGAAGATCAGAGAACTCTCTGGGACACATGGTGATGTTTTAACAAGAAATGTCCTAGACTATTTAACAAGAAATGTCCTAGACTATTGGCCAAAGTTCAGCATATTTGGAAAATGACTTTTTTCCCCCAGTGATGTTTCAGTTTAAGATCGATGGGTGATTTATCTGTTTTCAAGTTGTCTGGCCCAAGTCCTGTGGTTGCTGTGGCTCTTCATACATACTTCACCTCCTCTAATTTATTAGCCTTGCCAACTTCAATTTTACCGGAGAGGGGATATTGGGATATTCACTTTGATGCCAAACTATAATTTTAAAAATTCTTATTGCTGAAGGATTTTCGCTGATACTTTTGACCCAATTAAGGCTTAGGAAGTTTTCAGCTAATTTCCCCATTACAGCCAAAATCCAACTTGTAAAACTTGCAAAAGAAGTCTCTGAGGCAGATACTCATGGATATAGCCTTGTTCTTCCTGTCCTATCTTAATAAGCTAAGTAAAGCTGTTTATGGATGATGGAACAGCTGCCAGATTCCACCCCCAAGGTGACAGCAGCTCAGCTGTGGGAGAAGTGATTCTTAAAATTTGCATATTCTCTGTGTACATACAGTAGGCATATATATAGATACACATCCTTATTAATTTTGAAAATGACATTTCAAAACCCTACTTGCCTACTCAATTCTTTTGCATGAAGAATGGGTGGAGGACAGGTAGATATGGAAACAAAATGGATGAGAGCAACGCAGAGTAGCTGTGGAAGGACCAGGTGGGAAATAATTGTGTTAGGCAAGGTGGGAGGTAATGGCAGCAAGGACTAGGACAGTTTCAGTAGAGATGGAGGAAAATAAACCAACTCAAGGTTATTTTGAGTTACAATCTAAAGGACTTGGTGATTGATGAGGGATGGAAGTGGGGGAGAAGGAAGCGATAAGGATGAAGTCTCTGCTTCTGGTTTGGGCTAAAAGGTGAACAACAATGCCATCCACTGAGATAAGATATGTAGAAGCTGGTTCAAAGTGAAGCAGCAGCAGATTAATTCAATTTCCTAGGGGCTGAGGTTGAAATGCCTACAAAACACCCAGGTGGAGAGATCCAGAAGTTGGATATATGGTATTGAGGAGCAAAAGAGAGGCTGGAGATAATGATTAGAAGTCATCAGCATATAGATGATGTCTGAAGCCACAGGACTGAATAAGGTTTCCCAGGGAGAGGACCTCAAACAAAACAGGAACATCTGGAGGATGCACAGTGGAAGAACACCCAGCATACACGGAGATAGGTAAGAAAAATTACAAAGTACAGTGCTGAGAAAGGCAAAGAAAGATGAGCGCCTCAGAGTGGCAAATGCTTTTGAGAAGTCAAGGGAAGTAATAATTGAAAAGCATCCATTAAATTTAGCAATCAGACAATCTTAGCAAGAGCTGGTTTCTGGCGTGGTGAAAGCAATAGCAAGATGGAAGGGAGCTGGGGAGTTGGTAACAGCAGAGGGAAAGGAAACATTTAATATTCAAAACTCTTTCAAGGAGTTTGGCTGTGAAGAACAGTAAAGGGACAGGAAAGCAACATCTGAGGACCACAGGATTTTTGTGAATTGTTGTATTTTAATGGGAAAGACTTTAGTATATTTTGAATGCTGACAGGAAGGAGTCACTAAAGAAGAAAAGAATGGAGATGTGAGGTGGGAACAGGGCGGAGTGTGGGTATTCAACAAAGAGAGAGCCTTGACAAAGCTGAAAGGGATGGATCCAGAGCAGCACAGAAGCAGGCAGTCTTCTTGCGTGGTAACAAGGTCTCAAGCAGCTGCCATGAAGAATGTGAGAAGGAACTAGAGTACCTCTTACCTCTTCCATTCGGGAACCAACTGGCTATACTATATATAGTTCATCAAAGATGCCCTTTTCAACCACACAGTGTTCAAAAGACTATTGTGTACAAATGTAATCTGAAAAATTAGTGTTGTGAAATAATTACCCTAAAATTTAAGTAGCATATAAATATAAAATAGGCTAAATTGACATTTTTGTAAATTAACATTTCTTAACATTTGTAATGTTCTTTAAAGAATAATCTACATGGAACACTGGCATAAGCCACCTTGGCTAAAGGAGGACTAGCCAAACACCATCACTAACACTCCCCATGGGACCATGAGTACAGAAGCATGCCTGGTGAGGATCATGAAGAAGTCTGTCCTGGCTCCACCAGCCAGACCATGACAGCATGGGCCAGACTAGCTGCAGTGACACTGATCACCACCCTTCCTCGTTTTCCTTGCTAACAGAACCCTGATTTTGTTCACTTCCAAAGTAAACAGTTGTTTAGGCCTAAGAGGTGAGTCTTGAGTAGTTCAAGCCAATTTTGTTTGTGAATGGGCATGAGCCCAATTCTTGCCGATAAAACTAAAAGGGAAAGTCTGCTGGAAAAGTTTTTCTCGCTCTTGAAAAAAGTGGTACAAGGAAGAGAATACCATTTGCAATCTCTGAATGTGCTTAATTACCCGGAACTATGCAGTCATCAAGAGATCATGAGGTGAGCCAGCTGAGGAGGACAGGGGATGTGCTCAGGATAACAAAACAAACAACAGAAGAAACTAGGTCCTTCAGGGCTGCTACCTGAACTGTTCTATTAACCAATCCTGGAACTACCTTACCTTGACATTTCTTGTTATGTGAAATAATATATTTTCCTATTTTAATGCCACTTCTAATTACAACTGGTTAGTATGGCAGAATGAGACCAAAATGGTTGAACTGCAACGAAGAGAAACTGGGGAAAGATAGAAAACGAGAGAGAGCAAGTATTTGCTATTCTGTGAATATAAGAACAGTTTTGTTAAGATAACTCATTAAATAAAAAATAAGGGGGAAAGGATTCTGGTGGGAAGAAAGATTAGAAAAAGGGCAAATAAAGAGTATAAGTTCCACTAATGTCTCTTTTGCCCACTTCATCTTTCATGGAAATGGACTACATTGTCTTTATTTCTCTAATTCTCTGTGTGTCACTGATCATTAACTTTTACTTCTCAGTCTGTGACTCATTCTGTATCAGATGTCAGAATTCTACTAATAGCTCCTGGGAGAGAAAAATACAAATCCTAATTACTCGCTGAGGATATCCACTCATTTTACAATCAGGCACTGGCAGCTCATTAGGTGGGCTAGATACCCTTCCTCACTTCACAATAGAGGCAGTCCAGATACCTCCAGGGAAGAAATGTCTGTTTTACCAACCCTAGCGGCTCATCTACATCTAGGGATTTAAAAATCACCTTCTAAATGTATAGCACATACAATCCTAACCTTCACTACCCTGTAATCCTGTTCAAATGCCTCCAGAAGAGCTATATTTTAATGCCCCTCCAGCTCTCCACCCTACCCTGCCCCTCCACCTCTACCTCCTACCTACCCCTCCCTATAACCACAAGTTAATAGTGCCTCAAATGGGGGTAACCTTCAACTAAATCAGCTCTCCTTACCACTTATTTCAATTCCGTCTATGATCTATGATCTAGACAACTTGGGGTCATCCTAAAGCCTCCTTTTCCTTCATTCCCCAATATCTCATTATTTCTTTCAAAGTGTCTCTCAGCTTTACCCACACATTTCACTTCCATTGTCTCCATCAAAATCTAGATGCTCACATATCTCAACCACTTCAACCACACCTTAGCTCATGTTCTCTGGCTCTACTGTCTCCCACTTGCCACTCCCTTTGTCATGGTACCACCTCTGCCCTCAGGAGTCTGCCCACAGTGGCTCTCACACCAAGTCCCAGATCTTCTGGAGGGGTTTCAAGGCCCTCCCCAATCTGGCTCCATCATATCCTTCTACCTTCTTCCAGTCAATTTGACAAACTGGACACTGTCACATACTCACACTGTGTTCTCCCAGCTCTGGGATTTCATCACGCTGACCTTCCCACTTGGGGTGCTCAGTATCCCCTGAATGTGCTTCCCTAAATCCTATTCATTCCTCTATGCCCAGCTCAAATTTCACCTCCTCCCTGAAGATTCTGTAACCAGTCTAGCTCTTTCTTCTTTGAACTGATGGTCTTTAGCATACTCTTTAGCATCTGATTGTCCTAATAAAGGTCCATTCTCTCCTTGACCAGGCCATGCTGCTTGTCAGAGAAACCATGTCCTACACTTCTTGCAGGCCCTCACAGTACTAGTGGACTCCTGTAGGTAGGGATGAAACAACTATTTGCTAACCAAATAATCAACATTCAAGGGATACCTTGTCTCTTTACTTATAGTTTTAGTAATTGAGGAGCCTAGGGAGAAGGCAGGGGTCAGCAACGTCCTGTAGCCCTTGGAAAGCATGACATGTACCCCAAAAGATATCTGACATAGCTGGAAGGATCCCATTTCTGGAGTGGAGAAAACTATTTTCCAAAGACACATCACTGAACTGACTGTCTTAACAACAAGGAACCACTATAGGGGCCCGAGACAAGCATGGGGCAGGGCAGTCTGGAACTACATTTACCACTGTGGCTTCCTCCAGTGGAGTCACTTGGTGCCAAGGGAGGTGGATGCGGCTTGTCCATCAGCATGCCAGATGAGGGGGCTCCTCCCAAAGGGACAGAGGGGATGGAGTAAGGGCCAGGGACACCGGAGACAGAGGGAGGGTACCCGGCCTTTGCTGCTTTCCCTGCTTCATACACTGTGGAGGGAGATCAAGAGCAAGAGAGATTATGTTGTCCCACCCTCCACAACCCTCACACCAAAAATCCCTGAGGATGCACTTCAGGGAGCTCCTGGATGTGTGTATGTGCATGTGTGAGTGTTTGTTCTCCTACAACTGAACTGATTAATCAGAATCACTGTCCCCCACTCCCTTGGACTCCTCCAGCTCCACCAAACAGCAACGACATAAGGAATTACCGTGTTTAGTACCTGGCAAGTAAGTAATTAAGTGGTTCTGGGAGCTGTCACAGCAGCATCCCCAGTGACGGCAGCAGCCCACTCTTCCCCACACTGTCTGGAGGCTGCCTCGGCCCCTCTGGAGGCAGTCTAGCACACAGACTGCCCAGGGCTGCTTCAAGGAGGATCCTGAACTTTGTCTTGAGAAGGAAAGCAAGTAATGGGCTTGCACATGGTCCCTGCTCTGTGATTTCAAAAGCAGAGCAAATAACTTGATTCTTCCTAGAAACTGCTTTATTCCTGAAGATACTAAAGATACCTGGTGTACCTCTCTCTTTCAAGACGTGTTTGGTTTATGGAGGGGTACCAAACTTAATGTCTATATGGTCTTGGCCAGTAAGGTAAAAATTGTGACTCCTCAAATGAGAACTAGGCCCTACTGTAGCCCATGTCATCATGGGAGTACATAAAATAAATCTGTGGCAGGGTGGGTGCCCAAAGGCCACAGTTTGCACACTCTTTTTATATAAAAAGGAGGTTCTCTGCATGGGAAAGGAATGACCAGAGAAGGTTTCCTCTAGTTTGAATGCCTCAGGGAGAGGGAACAGCTTTACCCCACAACCGCACCATGCCAAACCTGTCCTTCCATTTTATCAATAGTGTCCATGAGAATTCCAAATGCATGGAGTGATAGGTATGGATAAGAATTGTGGACAGGTGTACGTAGGTGAACAGGCAAATGAGAATGGTCATCCCTGAGGCCAGGGGCATCCAGCGGAGAAGAGTCTGGAATGACCAATCTTGGGGGTGGCAGGACAGGAGGTGGAGGAAGAACCCAGCGCACATAGCTGTCAGACACAGGTAGACATTTCTCTCGATTGCTCTGTCTCCCCACCAGTCACTGTACTCACAGGCTTGAGGGCAGCAGCAGGACTCTGGGCAGCATGGACAGCGGACATAGCAGCAGCAGCTGTGAGGGCAGCACTGGCACCAGCAGATCCCCACCAGGACGAAGAAGAGGAAGACGCCCAGGAGCACCAGGCCAACAAACACCCACTCTGGAAGGATGCACAAAGAAATCCACACTCGAGGCAGCCCACCTCCAGGGCAGGTGCACTCTGATTGGCATCTCCCAGTGAAAGGGGGAGAGGAGGAGGGACCTAGGGAAGAAAGCATCACTTAACAGGAGACAGAGACCCAACACTCAAGAGGAACTCTGAGAGTGAGAAGTGCAGACCCTCAGTCCAGGGGAATGGAGAAGAGGGAAGAAGGTTTTCTATGTTACACTGGGCACATGTAATAACCGGCACAAAACAATGTGGGGATTTCAGAGTCCTATACTGGGGAAAGGATTTACACTACTGACTGTAGCATCAGAACCAGGATGGGACCAGAGCTGAAAGAATCCTGGCTGCGGGGAGGGAGAACCTTGTCTGTTGGGCCATGAAGTGGTGGGTTCTGTGAATACTTATTATTTTTTTTTTTTTGTCAAGTTAATCCTCTCTATAAAAGTCTAAGTCCTGAGGAAACGGTCTCTATGTCTAGGGGTCTAGATTTAGTTTATAGTTAGGTGGTTCCAGGCCCCTTATGTAATGTATTCACCTGCTTTCCCTGCTGATTGCCCCTAGAACACCTTTCCTGTACTCAGCACCAGTGCTGAGATCCAAACCTTTTGCTTATACCAGGACAATAATCCATGGCTAGAGAAAACTACAGACATGGCCTTCATAGAGAAGACACTATCCCCATGAACAGATAATGAGTTTGGTTTGATCACACTTAAGCTGTATCCATACTAGGCAGCCAACCTAGCCAAGGGCTCAAGTGGCTCTGAGCTTGGATAAATGGCAAGGCTGACATGTATATCTGGGTATGTTTGTTAACTCTGCCTCTTTCACAGCTCTGCCAGAAGCTGAATGTGAATTCCATTTCATTTGCCCATCCAAAAGATTAAAAGAAAGGAAACAAATTGCAAGTGGCTTAGATAAAAATGACTATGGTCCTCAGGTGACTTGTCTCAGCATCATACTTTAGAGACTTGGCTACAGGACCCAACTTCCCCCTGCAGACCTGGACAGACTAGGGAGAGCCATGCTTTCCTTTAAAAGACAAAAAGACTAAAGCAATTCATTTGGGTTAAAAGCCATCTATCCCAAATCCCTTTGCAAATGAACCTCAAGCACACATTATTTTTCTTAGATTTTGATTACTAAATATTCCTTCAATTAAATGGACATTCAGCTGGGAGCTTGAGAATATGATATTTTAATTAAATAATGGGTTGTATAATAATGGTTAACAAAATGACTTTGTTTAGAGGAAACAAACAACATGTTTCCTGAATGTCCCTCCTCACTAATCTTTCTGAAATACATTCTTAATTTGAATGGGAAGGCCTTGTGCCTGGCTGGAGTGGCCTGGAGAACATTCATGCCAAGGACAATCGATAGCAGAAGATTTGGCCTAAGCCTTAGTAACAACACAATAATGTAATGTAGCCTGAGATAGATATGAGCTCTTAGGTTTAGATGAGCTATATGAAGTGGTGGCTACAACTTGGGTCAAGCAGTCAAGGATAAGATTGGAAAGTTATATGTGAGAAACAAAAGAATATTATCTGTGAAAGGATTCTTGGAATCAAAGGGAGGGAAATTTAGTCCTATATGGCCAGCTAGGAAAAACACAGTAACCCTTTCTGGAGACTGGGAGATGTAACAGCCTGGGAGATGTAACAGCTAGTTTCAAGCACTGCAATGTAACATTGTTTTTGTGATGAACAAATGCTTACAAATGGAGGGAATTCTGGATAAAGGGATTACAAAGAGGCATACATTTGTGTCCTTGGGAGCAACATCAGTAAAAAGAACGTCTGTGTTTGGGTTGGTCACCTAATGGAAAGGGACTAGAATTCATAGAAGAATAATTCATGAAGCTCAATGGTGAAGACTCTGGATGTTTTTAAAAATTTGAATTAAGCTAAAAACCAATACCCAGGGATATTCTGTATCTCTGTTGCTCTTAAAACTCTGGCAGAAACCCTCCAAGACAAGACTAAATCATCCCTTTTCCTACTGTTTGAGTTTAGATATGTTCTTCCCCACAGTTCATTCTTGCTCCTCTCTGTGCCTCCCTCAACTGCAGACCATAAAGGTGCACCAAACTGATGTTGGCTTGTCTAGGCTGGTGGATTCAACTGAAGGTACATAAAAAGACAGAGATGCATATTTGTCCCAGATGTCCTTCACATATGGTCTGTGGACCTGTAGGGACTCAAAGGGACTAGTAAGTCCCTGAAATTGTGTATAAAGTGATGTAGGTCTGCAAATGTGTATTTTTCAAGGGAGGAGGGGTACATAGCTTTCCTAAGGTTTGAAAAAAAGTTTGATGATGTTATAAAAGGCAATTCAGAGTAACATGGTTGTACAATAATGAATCGGTAAACATATAACTTAGGAAATAAGGAAGGCAGATAAATACTGATTCTATTAAAAATACTTTTACGTATATGGGTACAGCTGAAATACTGAAATGGGCATGGAGATTGCCAAAGAGCCTGCATGCCTGACACTGAAGGACTAGGTTGCCATCTCAGCCTATTTTTAATTATCATTATTCTTTTAAGGCCTAGTAACAGAAGAAATGCAATTTAAAAGTCCTTCCAGTGGGTTTAGTTAATCCTGGAAAAGATCAGAGACATACAGACAAATGTGGAAATAAATTAAAGAAGCAATTAGCGACTAATGCAGAAGCAAAACAGATGGAATAACAGCAAATCAAGCAAATAAAGAGTTAAATGACCGAATACCTGGCATAATCTCCACAGCAAAACTGGGCAAGAGATCAGCAAGCAGCCCTGTCCTGCCTAGAAGAAGTGGAAGGAAAAGAAGAAGGAAAGTGGTTATTCCAAAGGAAAACATAGCCTAAAGCCTGGTTCCAGTTGGTACCATCCATACGTGGGGCCATTAGTGCATGCTCTTTGTGGTATGAGAAGCACATCACCAAAGCTAGGCTGAGACAAGAGAATGACTTTCTCTCTCAATCTTTGGCAGCCATCTAAGTGAACTCTGCACCTAAACTAAGCGGAAGCAGAAACAGAACTTTCTCTCCAACTATTTATAGGAGGAGGAAATCTCTGCTTGAGCAGACTGACATACACTATCTCCATTCATTTATACATCCGTCTCCATACACTTCATTGGAAAGTCAAGCCCGTCTGTATCCAAATGTTCAATCTACATTTTCATACATCCATACACAGTCCTATGTCCATATAAAAACAAAAGTACATATTTGGTTTTAACTCAGAATTATCTCACTACATGATTCTATTTGTGGCCTAAAGATATTTCAATGATTAAAATTTTCATAGGCAAGGGAAAGATAAAACTAGATCAGTTACACATTCCTCTACACTCCTTCTGGCTTCTGAAATACACTGTACATATGTGGATGGTATGGCTTTTCCATATGGCACCCACAGCTGGCATTATATGGACCCAAGTGCCTTCTGCATAATATGGCAGAGAAACTTAAAAGCTGGAGTTGGAACAGGTGCCCCTCAGGGGCTCTGGGAAGCAAAGAGCTGTGCAGGAAACAAGAGGCTGGAAGACGTAAGGGAGCAGATTAGTCCATTTTAAAACTAGACTGATTTACAGAAAGACATGATGAATGCTTTCATCATGTTCTCATATCAAGGTGAAGTCCTGTTATGAACTTCTTCCCCTGACATTATATCTCTACCACACTGAAGCCTTGCTAATAAACTAGTAGTACTGCAAACAACTAGCAAATTTCCCTCTTTCAGACTTGTGATGATGGTAAAATGTCACTGTAACACCTAAACATGCAACTAAATTCTACTTCATTTAGGTACCTGACATATACCTCTAGAACAGCACCATCCAACAGAAATATAATGCAAGCAATGTGGATAATTTTAGCTTTTCTAGGAAGTACAATAAAAAGTAAAAAGAAACAAAGGAAATTAATGTGATACTATTTTTAGTTTATGTGACTATCACCAAAATATTGCCATTTCAAGGACATAGTAGACACATGTTGCTATTGGACAGCACAGCTCTGGCAATCTGTTTCATGCATATAGATATGGCTCATCTAGAAAACAACTCCTTCATATTAAAGTTTACTGAGGTGCATTAGAGAAAAGGTTACTCATGTGTGTGGTTCATATTTTAAATCTAAAGTCATGGTTGGTCACTTGTCCCTTCCTCTATCAAGCCACCCACAGAAAAGAAGCTCTGACAAAGGTCAAAGAAAAAGGGGCTCCTCCAGGACACTAGGGAAGTATTCCGGAGCTGGGGCAAGATTTAGTGAGTGGAGTACAGGGGTCTTTGCTCGCTTTTTTTTGGCTCTCCTCAACTCTACAAGGCCAGTGTGGTAACATGTGTCCTAGTCTATGTGGGTGATGGTCACATGTTTAAAAAAATAATGGAGACCAGAGTATATTCCAAGGTAAGGAACTATGGGATGGGTGACTTAGGCTAACTCTGCTTTTGGCTTTGGCAAATACAGCTTCCTTTTTTCTGTCCTCCATCTCATGCAGGTGACATGGTAAGATGGCTCCGCTGCTTGCAAGGTCTCTTGGAAGGACAAGTAGGAGTCAAGTGGGACATTGGAAAAAGGTGTCTTCTCAGGCTAGTCTTTGACCTAAGCCTTCATAAAAGACTAAGAGGTGCCCCTAAGGCTTACGCAGTTCCCTAGGGTAGGAAACTAGTACCGATTTGGGGCCAAAGTTTGAGAAAGTGATTAAGAGACAGCATGCATTGGTCTCCTCTGAGTGTTCTCTATAAAAATATCTCTTGGAAACTCAACAAGGTAATAAACAGCTAGTCAAAGATTTGGGAATTTGGACTCCTGGAGATTTCTTAAAGACCAGGCAACAATCAATGATCAAGAAGTCAATATATACTGATTTTTAAAAATCCAGTGATCAGATATGTACTTGATGGATTTTTATTGTGTTTTTTTCAATCTGCATAATTAGCACTTGTAAATATGTATCTTGGTGTATCTTGTAAAATCAGAAACTTTGTTAGTGTTTACTCTCCACTTCTCAAGACTACCAATGTTTTAAACATCTCTGGATAGGCTATGGTCCAAATCATTACTTAAATTCATGATAGAAATGTTATTGATGATATAAGCTACCAATTTGTGGGCTCTCATAGCAAACTGACTGTGATAATTAACTATAAAAATCCATACATTCAAGGAGGATGTGGTGCTCATACATATTATATAAAGCATGTTATATTGGAAAAAGCAGTGGACTGGGAGTCAGAGTACTTAGGGCAACTTTATCATTACCTCACTTGGTGATTACTACAGGCAAATTACTTTCCCTTTCAGGGTCTCAGTTTTTTCATTAGTAAAATGAAGGGGTTGAATAGAGTAGTTTATAAACAGAAAGACCATCTATCTTAGTTTGTCTAGGACAGTTGTAGATTATGCCTATGGTCCAGGTGTAATTTTTAATAGCACCCCTTTTTACTCTCAAAGCCTTCTAGTTTGGACAATTAATTATATGGTCATTCTACTTATATAACTTTTAGTTCCCAAATCTGATACTCGGTGATTGAAGTTAAAAACTCAAATGTCTATGGGGACCAGCAGGTAATACAAATGAGTACAGGTGGCCAGATGTAATACAACAGGGAGTAGCTAGAGATGTTATTAGGAGGCTGCTACTAGTCACCCCAGCCACTTGTGCCCCCATAGAAATGTGTCTTCAGTGTTTCAGATCATCCTATTTTTCAATATTTTCCAGGCCCCAGATTTTATGTGAAATATCTTGATTTTCAAATGTTGGTAACCAATTATTTTTAAAACACTGGGTGAGCCATACACAGTATGTCTGCAGGCTGTATAGAGCCCAGAAATCATGAGTTTGCAACCTCTGAAGGGTATACACACACAGATAAATTTATGGGATGGTAAAACACAAAGCTGCATTTCCCCATAGGCTGTTTAGGTTACCTTGAGGGTGTTCTAACATTACTTCCACACACAGAATGATAGTAAATACAAGATCTAGTCACCTATGTTCAAATTAAAATTGGAAACAACAGTATTACGCACCAAATTGCTAGCCTTTCTTACTTCTAGGGAGCTAGAATGGACATCATGGAAGAACAATGAAGGAACTTGCATTATTTTTTACTTTAGACTTTTTTTACTTTTATAATTGAAAAAATTAAAATAAGGAAAGGGTGTATCAGACATATGGACAGGTGATTCACAAAGCTTGTCACTCCAACAGGAAGACATACATCAAGCTTCTCATTCTCCCTGAAGCAACAGTCAATAGCTGATGCTTCAGAAGGTGAAGGCTTCCCATAATGCACCTGTGTAGTGTTAGCCGCAGGGTAGTGTAGGTGATATGTGCAGTAAAGTGGGCGAAATTAAATATCTTCAGAATTCAAAACATAGTAGGAATTTTGGGAGAGCAGACAATACCAATATATCATGTCAACAGCAGAGACGGTGCAAAGCTCTATAGTTTTACACCATTACTTATATTTTATTGGAGCTAAAGGCATTTTTAAAAGTGGATTTATGCTGGAATCTTATATTTCTGAAAATATTCCACTTCCAGTTTCTTCCCTAACAGTTCTTAAAAAATGCTATTGCTAGTTAGAAATGCTTTGTCTTTTCTTCTATCATAATCAATGAAGGCCTGATCTTAGAGAGTCTAAACAATTGCAGTAAATACATCCCAGATTTCAGCAGCACTTTACCAACACTTGTGAATCACTATCATTCTTCCAGGATTCAGTTTAAGAGTGGCAATTACAAGTCACTTTAATGTCTGAGGAAAGGATGGAAAGCAAGCCCTGCAAATAGAAGGCCACATTTACTCTTTTCAAACCACAGCTCAAACTATCAGTGGAAAATACAGTTTTTATGTAAGCACTCCAACAGTTTTCCCCAAACCTTGCAGAATCCATTACTTTTAAGAAATTTCCACATGAATAGACCAAACGAATCAGGCATACTAATACTTTGTACATGCACACACACACAAGTGCCAGTTTCATATCATACTGTCACAAACTCTAGAGCTAAACACATTCACACGCTTTGGATTAAATGATCAGGATAGAAACATGCATTGTGAATAAAATAACTTACCTATCTTACCTATAAAATTCCCCATTTCAGTTGTTTTCTGCCACTGCCACTGCTGAAGTTATCCTCAACTGAACTCTTTGTACACATTCCTGCAAACCAGCTCACGGTTGGAATGTCCCTCATTTATTCACTCATCATTCATTCATTCAACAAAGAAATTTATATTTAGCTAGGTGGAGACACAGGGGACAAGATGTGTTCCCTTGAGACACTTGAGAGACTCACAGTCTAGCCCAGACAGAACTCAGCTTTAGTTATCTGCCTCTGTGCTGCAAGACCTATTAAATCTTCCCACCAAATTAATTTTCATCAGCCTTCTTTGCATTTTTGACATCAGGTTCTGTCTGGTCATGGGACCTTTCCCTAGAGACCTAGTCCTTGCCTGGTTTCCCACTTCTATTCAGAACATTATCTTTGCACATTTCACAACAAATGATGTCCTAGTGGCATTTCCCCAAGTTTTTTTTATACCTTTTTCTTGGTAGGTTAGCCCCCTCAAAGCAAACTTTACTTACTTTCTTTGCTCAGATAAGCATTTGAACTGCTTTGTTCAATTCCTTACCACATAGAGTCCACAAGACTGAGATATGTTCTGACAGAGCCCTGTAAGAATGCTGCACTAAGAAGGTGCTTCCTCATCTATGCTCCCTAGGACCACTGCACATGCCTGCACTAAAGCACTTATCTCGTGGCTGCAGTGTGCCTTTACTT